TAATTATAAAATAAAATCGATATATGTATCAACCCTTTTTCAAATTTATCGACATATTTTTCTTTTATGAAAAGTTTGAAAAGTCTCGTAATAAGTAATGTCAAATTAAATGTATACCAATAATTATAGTTTTCGATTTTAGTTTTCGACTCATCAAGGAAAGTTATAAAAAATAATATGAAAAAATGACATCACTAATTTTTAAATTACTAAAAAAAAAATTCAATTTTTTTGAAAACAAAATTACCTACAATTATAATCAAGCTGAGATTTGATTTTTGTACGAGACTAATGTCTGAAGAGACATTTGAGGATACATTATCGATAAACTCACGATAAATTTTGCAAAACATCGTCGGGAAGATCCTAAAGAAGAACAATGACGAATATTAAAAATAACACAGACGTCTAGAGATATCAAGATTGATTAAAACTATTATCTCAAGAAAAGAAAAAATTTTACAAATAGCTGACCCATTTTTTCATATAAAATTATTTAGTTCTGGTTGTATTAATAATACACCGAATCATTCTTACATTTTCTACTTATAATAAAAACTCGACACGTTTTTAGCATTTCGTTTATTGTTAAAAGTACCGAGTTATTGCGGTAATAATAAAATGAAGCTTAATATCTCTCTTCTACTTTCCCGAGATAATATAAATCTAATAAATGTTGATGTCTCAGACATCAAAATCGGGCAGTGTTATTTTTGATACTCATCTCTCATCGTCTCTCGTCTTTCCTTAGGAAGAGCGTCGGCGGCGCTTCTTCGCGAAATCCATCGTGAATTTGCCGATAGCGTGTCCCAGAAATACGAAAATCAAGTCTCGTCGTGCAGCTTGATTTCGATCGCAGGTAGACACACACAGGATGTGACAAGCACGAGAGCCGGGGGCATGTACAGCCAATCAGTGGTTTTTCCTAGACTGGCTGTCATTCAGTCAGCCAAGTGGAAGGACAGGAACGGCTTGTGGTTCGGCTTTCGCATTATTCATTATGCAGCTCACAACACGCCGTCACCTGCCACCGCAGTCCTGTATACACAGCCAGGTCAGGATTGACCACACATGCGCTACTGCAAGCACACACACACAGATATGCAATCGGCAAGAATGTGTGTGTGCGCGTGTCTAAGCCTATATGATAAAAATAATCGTGTCTTTATACAACGAATTATAGCTGCGTGTGTTATATCGCTAAGATACGTTCCAAGTTGCAGCGATCTCGAGGTATCATCAAATATTATTGCCTGGAAACTCATCAAGTGTTCGCTTTTCGATCGTCGTTATAGATATTTATCACACCGAACAAAAATTTTGTTAATTCTTAGAAGTATTTATTTCAACACTGTCAAATAAATCATTTATTTGAAACTAATAGTATTGATTTGATACGAACAATATTTATTTATAGAAGAAAATTCTTTTCTAAACAAATAAATATTTCTTTGTAAATATATATTTTATCACACTGAAAAAAATTTAGTTAATTCTTAGAAGTATTTATTTCAACACTGTCAAATAAATGATTTATTTGAAACTAATAATATTGATTTGATATGAAAAATATTTACTTATGGAAGAAAATCCTTTTCTAAACAAATAAATATTTATTTGTTTCAAATAAATAATTTATTGAACAGTATGGAACTAAATATGTATTAATTTCGTAATTTTCTTCAGTGCACTGAAAAAAAATTTGTTGACTTGACTAAACCTTTCAACTAAATTACTATTTGTTCATTGAACATATATTACACGGAAAGAATTTTTTCTTAGAATTTACCCTGTAAATCATGGTAATTATGGGGCAATATAATAGAAGAATTTTATAAGTTTCTTTAATTAATATTTACCGCAATAAAAAATATTAATATATATTAATATATTTTTTATTGTGGCAAATATTAATCAAAGAAACTCTCATAAAATTCTTCTTATATTATATTATCTCATAATTACCAGGGTAAATTCTGAAAGAAAATTCTCTTTGTGTAGTATTTAAATCAAATATACGTTTTGTTAGATTTAATGTTACATTTAATTTAAATTTTTTATGTTTAATTGACAAAATAATATTTAGTTGAAAGGTTTAGTCAAATAACCAAATTTTTTTTCAGTGTAGCATCATTATTTTTCAAGACAAATAATTTTTTTTCGTTAAAAATGGATCGAGTTGCTTGGTATTGTTTTATATAAAAAGATTTTAAATATTTATATTTAATAAATGAGCTAATTAACTAGATATATATGAGTCTGTCTTTTATAGATTGATAGAAAACGAATAAATTGAATAATGTATTGTATCGACGCATGCTTCATCAATATATGTAATTAATCAATGTATTCTTACGTCAATCAATATATATTTCATATTATTTCATGTGTAAAAAGTATATATATACAAAATATCTATCATGTACATAGTAAAATTAATCGATATTTCATATCTTATTGCGATATTAATATTTATTGAGATGAATATTAATCAAAGAACTCTTATAAAATTCTTCTAATATCATACATATATTGTTCCATAATTACCATGATTTTCAGAGTAAATTCTATATAAGGGAAAATTTTGTGTTTGTATATTTAATAAAATAAGCTATTAAACTATGATTCTTTTTTATAGAATGACAGAAAACGAATAAATTGAATAATGCATATATTGTCTCGATGCATGCTTTATCAATACGTAATTAATCAATATATTCTTACATCAATCAATATATCTCATATATTATTTCACATGCCAAAAGTATGTACATGCATCTATACTTATAAAAAATATAAATATATTTTCCAAAATATTAATATTTTATTTACATGAAAAATGTCTAAGTGTCAAATTATATGTCGCACTTTTTTCACGCCCAGCATAAATAAAGCAACGCGACAGCTCCCACTGAATCTATCAGATTCGCAAGTGCACGGTTCGTAACAAAAACTAATACGTTAAGATCACAGTTACGATACACAGAAATGACTCGGATCAGAAACTCTATGGTTCTGTTGAGTGACAGCGCCCCATCCATATACAGGCAATATGTTTATACTAGACTGATAATGAATTCATGCTGTGCGTATAGGGCCAAGCTACTTGCGAACAGGTTGCAAGAGCATTACGGATCGGCTCGCACAGATGCTCTTTTGTCGGCAGATGAGTGCGAGCCCAAGGGATGACGCTGGATGATATCAGATCTGTCGGATCGATATAAGAATCAGGGGAATCGGGGTATGTACACACACATGTACGCATATTTTCCACACGCGTTGTCGCGTGAGCGTGTGCGAGACGCAGCCGGGATATCCCACGGGTCCCAATGGGAAACCATCCACGGGGCTTAATGACAATTCTGGCTATTCTATATCGCTCAAACGCTCGTTTGCGCTCGTTTGTATGTATGACTATTGATGCTTAAGTATACGTACGCTGAAAAAAAATTTTGTTAATTCTTACAAGTGTTTATTTCAATACTGGCAAATAAATCATTTGTTTGACACTAATAATATTTATTTGATATAAGAAAATCCTTTTCGAAACAAATAAATATATATTTATATTTAAATATATAAATATATAAAAATATATATAAATTTCAATACTATCAAACCAATCATTTATTTGACACTAATAATATTTATTTGATATAAGAAAATCCTTTTCAAAACAAATAAATATATATTTAAATATATAAATATATAAAAAATATATTAAATATATAAATATATATTTGTTGTACTGTCAAATCAATGATTTATTTGACAGTATTGAACTAAATATGTATTAATTTAGTCATTTTTTTTCAGTGTACAACAAAAAAGAGGACAGTGTTCACAAAGTGAATTTATTTATTGAGTGTACAACAAAAAGAGGACAGTTTTCACTTTGAAAACAACGCGAGAGAATTTTTATATGCAATTTATTATCCTTCGGCAGGAATAATAATACTTTCAATAAATATAGTAAATGAAAATTAAATGAATACAATACATTGAAAAAAAATTAGTTACTTGATTAAACCTTCCTACTAAATATTACTTTGTTAATTGAACATATAAAAATATTTAAATTAAATATAACATATTTAATCTAACAAAACGTATATTTGAATACTAATAATGTATATTTAAATACTAATATATGTTCAATTAACAAAATAGTGGTTTAGTTGAAAGATTCAGTCAAGTTAACAAATTTTTTTCAATGTACAGACTTTGCAAAAATCGGAGCATGTCTCAAAGCAAAAAAGTTTTTTGAAATATGATAATGTTTCGAAACATTAATAACTCTAACTTTTATTTTCATAATATGAAAATATCGAGCAATAGATACAAACATGTGAGCACAAAACAGTGAATTGACTTTTGTTTAAAAAAGATTTAATAACTGTTTATCAAAGTTAATTAAAGAGGAAGTTCAAACACATTAAAATACATAAGTGAATAATAATAGAAAAAGAATGCAATCAGAAAAAATTGTGAACGTAGCATATAAAAATATTTGCAGATAGCTATGTATGCTCTTTTTATATACATACATACATAGTTGATATATATATATAAAAAATGTGTAATAATTGTTGGTAAAATGTTATTACAGATCTCCTACATAGCTCCTCAGATAAAAAAGCTTTTACTCGAGCTTTCATGTTCAATAGATACACATTTTGACTTTGATAAATTTGATAAAGCCGACTGTCAATAGGTACTTACCAGCTTGGCTTTTTATCAATTAAGCAGCATCAAGGAAATAAACCAAGACAAAAACATAGACAAATATAAATACAATCTAAAGGCAACAAACAATATTTTAGGATATATATAAAAGGATAAAAAGGGTGAAAAAATTTATAATCGTTATACAATATTTTTATTAAATTTTTATTTTTCTTTTTTTTTATTTTTTATTTATTTATTTATTTATTTTCTTTTTTGCCAAAGAAAAGCAAATATCGTTGCAGCTAATCAATCGCAACAATATATAGACTTACTTGATCGTTTCCGCTGCAGTTCGGCCAGAAAATCCCTCGAAAACTTGCGAAGATCTCGGAGTCCTCAGGACGAAGATGCAACTTAACCTCCAACGTTGCTGTTACCGATTACGAGTGTCCTGTCAATGTATTATCTGCGCACACAATATTTCACACGTGTTATTTATAATATAGTCAGATGTGCGATATTTCGCGGGAGACACCGCGATCACTTTTTACGCGCGTAAACTTTTCGGACGACAAAATAATCGCGGGAATGCGCAGAACTGCAGGACGACTCGACACGAATCAACACTCGATACGCGCAAACATGGCGGACCTATCGATAAGCGAAATTGCGATTCTCGAAGTATCGAACCCGGCAAACTTCGCGCGGTTGATGTAGAGAATAAAAATTCGAAGTACTTTGATACGAAAAATTTATGACATTTGACACACATACATATATATATATATAGCACATCAACTATTACAGACGCATTAATTAGTGCAATTAAGCACAGACACGCGATTACCTGGCAATCTCGTTGCATTTTTCGATGCATCTCGGCGAGGAGGTTGAATGTACGCGTTCAGAGAGTTTCGATCGATTCACGACGAACGGAACCGGAACCGCGGATAATAATAACGATAATTATATTGCGACTGTTAATGAATTACGATACGACACACTCCCGTATGAAATTCGCTTTCGGACTACACAGAATCACGAAAAATGCGCAGGACGACGCGACACGCGAGCGAACGACGTGATGAGTTGCGCGCAAAATGGCGGATCTATCGAGAAGCGATATGCGAGTCAAGTATCGAGACGCGCGAAAATTCGAATAAAAAAATTTTAAATATATATAAATATAATACATATATTTAAATATATATATAAATATATATATATATATATATATATATAATGTATATATATATATATATATATATATATATATATATATATTAAATATATATAATACATATACACATGTAGCACCTAAATTATTACAGATGATTTAATTAGCGTAATTAATTACAGACACACGATTACCTGTAATTTTGTTGCATTTTTTAAATGCATTTAATCACTCAAAGCGACAAACGTCATGTACAATAAAACTTTATAAAAATATTAATATTTCTAAAATGCCCTAATTAATAACACAAATAGTTAGAAATATTGAGATTAATTATAGGGTAAAGATATGCAAATATCTGACAATAATTATGTCTTCTCGTTTTCAAATTTTAGTGGAAAGATATATGTGTAGAGAATTTTAAATTATTATTTATTTATATTTATTAATAGCGACATCAAGATTTAACAATATAATGATTTTTAAAATTGTTCCAACTGTAATAAGCATAATAATAAATATAATTTGATATATAGGGAAAAAATATCAATATGGTCAAAATAGCGAATAAAAGCGAAAAGAATACATGAGAGTTATTATTTATTTCATTGACAAATCACCATATTCCATCTTACACAAATACTCCTATGCTACACTTGAATTGTATATACATTAAAATTTGACATTCTGATGAAATGCTTAATCAAGATTAACACTTGTGTGAAATACTTAAATTGATTATAAAATTATTAAATATAGTTTGACAGATTATGTGTCTAATTTTTATAATATATTCACGTGGAAATATATTCACGCAATTAAAATACAATAACATAATAATTTTTTCTATATTCACAAACATTACCTTCAATATATGCATGCATACATACATATAGCATATTTATATACATACATACATATACATACATACATATACATACATACATACATACATGTATGTATGTATGTATATATACATATATGCATAAATGTGTATGTGATGTTTATTTGTGCACATATGATATTCAGCTTTTTTCCTTTTCTTTCAATGTTTTATTTTTCGGCCTAACATATCGTATATAGATGGATTTGGTTCAGTTTCTTGGTCTGTGTCGGAACTGCAATCACTGTCACTAGAATTATCATATGTTCCAAGACGGGTAAGATGCCGATACATTGAGTCCAGTATATTCGTTATTTTATTATCTTGATTTAATATATTTTTATCGTTTTGTTTATCTGACTCAAGATTAGAAGTATCAGTTACTGGCTTGCTAGATACATGCAGTTCTTTCTTTTTTGGAGTATCATCTGTATCATCGGATGAGGGCAACTTTCTTTTAATTCCTTTAAGTGCTTCGCCTGTACAAATAATTTATACACATTATAGGAAATAAATATTATATATATATATATATATATATATTATATATATATATATATATATATTAGAAGTAATGTACATAATATTTTTAGAATTTTTACCTTGTTTTGCTTGTCAGATCGTTTTAACACTACACCTGCAGGCAGCTTTAATTGTGAAGAACGGCTACTAACAAAAAAGTTTAAATTGAATGTTCCATTCACTGTTATTATTAAATTATTCAAGAATTATTAAGATTAAAATTATAGCTTACAAAGTCACATAATATATGCACTACAATTTCTAAGATGAAGATTATTTTAAACCTTATATAGTTAAAATTACATGTTTTATTCACTGTTATTAAATTATTAAATTATTCAAGAATTATTAGATTAAAATTATAATTTAGAAGTTACAGAGTAAATTACTCAAAAATTATTAGATTAAAATTGTAACTTCAAAGTTACATAGTATATGCACTACAATTTCTAAGATAAAGATTATTTTACAACTTATATAATTAAAATTGCATGTTCCATTCACTGTTATTAAATTATTCAAGAATTATTAGATTAAAATTATAACTTTGAAGTTACTAGTATATGCACTATAATTTCTAAGATAAAGATTATTTTAAAACTTATATAGTTAAAATTGCATGTTCCATTGACTGTTATTATTAAATTATTCAGGAATTATTAGATTAAAATCATAACTTAGAAGTTACAGAGAATATATGTTATAATTTCTAAGATAAAGATTATCTTAAAGCTTATATTTGATGATATAATAAAATACCTTCCACAAACATTTTTACTACTGACGGGTGGGTTCTTCAATTCTTGTTTCAACTTTTCATTTAAATTCTGTTCTTGAAGCGAAGCAACTGCAGCTTTAAAATCACGCATTTCTTTTTCTTCCTCAAGATTTTTTTTACGTTCCTCTTCAATTTTAGTTCTATCCACCAAATCCAAAAATTCGACTTCATCATCGTCTAATCTTTGATCATATTTTCTGAAAAAGTATTTAGATTGTTTAAATATGTAATACTGAAGAATAAATCTCAGAATATTTGAAAATTTGTCTATCGTACTAACATACTATTATAAATCCTTAACAACAAACTGTTTATTGTAGTAGACAGAATGATTAATTTTCAATATTAATAATGAATTAATTCGTTAACAAGTGCTTCTTACTAGAGCATTATACGACACTCCATAATTAAAACAAACTTGATGTTATTTCTCCACTTACTTAATTTATGCGCTTCCTCATACTCCATGTCTCTTTTATTCTTCTGTTCCTGTAATCTCTCATATAATGATCTAGGATCATAAGGCTCATCTGGAGCTTCTGTAAACCGTAATGCACATGAACATACTTTCCAAACATTCGTTAAGACTCGAGATTGTTAAATTTAATAGTTATTAAAGTAGCATATATACAATACTTTCAACATCTACAGATAGGATTGCAAAAGAATTATGTACTGTGTAAAATATGAACAAAACATGGACTAACCTAAAGGTTCATCAGCAGTTCGCACACGATCCCATTCTTCTTGTCGAATTCGTCGTTGTTCGGCAAGTTCGGCCTCTGATATGAAGCCCGAGCTCATTTTCACTGTTTATAAATACTTTTTTCTATGCGAAGCCCAGAGAACAATACACGTACAAATATTTTTTGTACACCTGACGAAGATGTACAACACTTCAATGGAAGAATTTAAATGACACGTATGTTACAACGCGTTGTATACATCCTCTTAAATAAAGATTTCAAGTGATTCAAAACATTTTCTGCATAACAATCACTCCGTAATATTGTGAGAGATCCAAAAATTTATTGCGACCTGACAGCGTCACAATAAGAAATGTAAATTACATATGAAGAAGCTCAAGCTGCATGGATTTATTTGCCTGCCATCTATATACACTTCAGAAGGTGGAATTAATATATCAAAATAATTTTTCAACTATTGGTAAAATTACTGTATGATTATGATTCGTGTATGTCTCCAAATTAATTTTTCATAAATATATATACACATGTGTTCATGTTTCATTTTTTATGACACCGTGGGATCATTTAAGACCCCAACATAAAATACTTTCTCATTAGTAGGATATTACCCCCATAGCAAAATACCAGTGATATCACAGTGATATCACAGTGATATATGCTCTGGATGTCATAGCAATGTGCGAATGTCCGCTTTGTCACAATGTGATGTCACAATATATCATTGTGACATTACACTGTTTGTCACAAAGTGTGATGTCACAATGATATCATTGTGACATCACATTGTGACAAAGCGGACATTCGCACATTGCTATGACATCCAGAGCATATCACTGTGATATCACTGGTTTTTTGCTATGGGGGTATATTTTTATGTTATTTATTTGATTAAATAAAAAAATGAAATACACTCTTCCGAAAGACATCAATCAATCATATCAGTCATTTATTGATATGTTGTTAATAATTACATAACTTTCCTAAAATTACTATAAGACAATAAAATTAATTAACATTATAGTTTTTACACTTCTTTGAGTCATTTTTGATCCCACGATATTATGTTAAAATCTATTATTTAACTAATATAATAATAATAATAATAATAATAATAATTAGAATTAACTAGTTGCATGTTTTTCTGCTTTTGCTGTTCGTTCAATTAAACTTCATCATAACAATTAACAAACTGCTGCAACAGTATGCTGTACATGAAATGGTATCTCTCATCAAATAATGATAACGAACAGCACAGGCAGCAAAGCAGAAGAACATGCAACTATAGTTGACTCTAATTATTTCCAGACATATATTTCAGCAGATTGTCTGTATAATGACAACTTTCAATTCTGTTGCGCTGCTATACATATCCTTTTCATGTACAAAAATTACAGTGACAAAAGTTATGTTACGTGATCATTTTGTCGCTCAAACAATCGGTTTCGGCGGCTCGTGAAAAGGCACCTTTATATTTCCGACAAAATATAAGCATATTTTCGCAATTTTTGCAGCATTAGAAGATTTCCAGCAAACACAGTATATAAATGTTATATACTCAAGCATGTTACATGCAACGTATATGTTAGTTGTAATTTGTCACTCATAGATGTAACATTTTTAAGATTACATATATTACATTGTATAGTTATATTGTCATTATATCCCAAGATAGCACTGACTTATCAATACATCAATGTGCTATTTGGTATATAATATTATAATTATATAGATAGCACTGACTTATCAATACATCAATATGCGCTATTTGGTATATAATTATAATTATATACCAAATAGTACATTGATGTATTGATAAGTCAGTGCTATCTTGGGATATAATGACAATATAACTACAATGTAATATATGTTATATTAAAATGTTACATCTATGAGTGGGAAATTACAACTAACATGGATGTTACATGTAACGTACACGTATATTCCGTTTTATTATAGCAATGTAACAATTATATATCGGTGTTTGCTGGATTCTTTCACTTGCTGATAATACTCGGTCATAAAATATATGTCAACATTAGAAGATTCTTTCACTTGCTGATAATAACTCATATGTTATGACATGAGTATTATCAGCAAGTGAAAGAATCTTCTAATACTGTAAAAATTACGAAAATATGCTATTTATATATTTTGTCAGAAATATAATAATTGCAGTTGTGCATTTATAATATAGTGAAACATTGCAATTTTGGTACTATAATTAAGTATTATAATTAATAATTATAATTTATATTTATTATTTATTATTTTTTAGTATCATAATTAATCATTTATTTCAGTACTATAATTAAGCATCTTCTGTCTTTGTTGTACATCGAATATCAAACGAAAACAGAAAATGTTTATAGCGCTGAACGCGTCAAAAACGAACGCAGCTTAGATTGTATTCGAAAATATTATGTATCTAGGACGAAACTCGATTGACCAATCAGAACGAAGAGTTCCCCAGGCTCCGATTGGTCGGCGCGGAATTTGTCCAACCAATCGGAGCGCGAGCTGGGGTGAACTTATTTTTGAATGCTGCTGCCCTCTCGTGCACTTTCGCATTGTTCGTGATCACGCATTCGCGCTCTTTCCGTGTCGGTCCGCGAAAATACGAGTGTGAATAATCAATTAGCGTCTTTACGTCGTTAATTATCGTATAAATCCGATCGCGTCGCGTGTATCTGCATCGTGATTGTGATCGCAGAAGCAAGATTAATCTCGTCGACTGCGAATTTTGCTCAACTTTCGTTCTCCTATTCTCCTGTAAGCGCGGGGTCACGTGATGCGTGACGTCACAGCTCCGACTCGGGCCGGGCCGCCAAAAGTTTTCGCGCGCAAAACGAGGACGGATCGCGAGAATTACCGGGTGCTTTCGCCGCGAATTTCCGCAGTTTTTCGACGTTGTCGATCGTATTCTAAGTGGACTGTTGCGCGTTTCCGGTCATACTTCCGCATCGTAATGTCAAAGTGTCAATGTGCGACGCATTTCGCGACTGCAAGTGTTTTTCGAAGTGCAAGTGCATCGTTTACGAGGAGGCACAGGGTAGCATCGGGCAACGCCAGAACAACTATATGGTATATTAATTAATTATTTATTTAGAATTTTTTATTTCAACTTAATTAAAATAATATATTATGTCAAATTATCAATTTTTTTATTTTATTAAATTTTATTATTTTATTTTTTTATTTTATCAAATTTCATTATATAATTTCCATATCTTATTTATATTTCACAGATTACAACTTCGCTGCTGCACATCGTAAGTGTGAGTCTCATTATATTTTATTTAAATTATATAGGTAATAATTTATTGATGAAAATCCTTTCTGACTTTGCCGAAATACGGCAAGCCGTTCTCTCTCTCTTTTTTGATAATATATTTGTATTATTATGATAAAAATTTATTATTAACTGCATTATTAATTATATGCATTAAAATATGCATATAAAAGCAATTCCCTGAAGTATATAAAATTCCTTGACTGAAGCAGTATTCCGCGACACAATTAAACTCGTTTAGAGCACGCGATTATTAAAAAATATAACGCGTAGAATATTTTGATGAAAGCAATATTCAAACTGTATATTGATCTTATTACATTTTGTTAGAAAAAATACGTGTATTTATACGTCTATTTTCGGATAAATTATCAATGATATTATATTTATAATTTTTATTTATAATTGAGAAAAACGAAAATATATAGTCTACAAAATTTAACAAATAAAATGTACAAGCAAAGAGTAAGATAACAATGACAATATATACGTTATACTTACAAGCGAATTAATGATAGGAGAAAATAAAAATAGAAAGACTTGAGAGAGAGAGAGAGAGAGAGAGAGAGAGAGAGAGAGAGAGAGAGAGAGAGAAAATGTAGCATTGTGTCCTATAGAAATAAAAATCCATAAAAATCAATAAGAAGGAAAGAAGAGAAAGAAAATACAATAATAGAAAAATTTTATTCAATTTGTTTAAGTCGCTGTGTTTTATTCAATCTATTTAAGTCTGTGTTTTTTTGCAATTTACAGTCTGAAAATAAAAACTCGATCGCGATAAATTATTAGGAGATTCGATAAGATTATAAAATTTAAATATGAATGTGTCAGTATTTCAGAAATATTAAATAAATTCAATATATATTCCTTACATTTATTTTTAATTAATTTAAATCTAGATATCATATTAAAAAGTTAATAGAATTTTTGTGCGTATATCAAATATTCAATATATTAATAACATCAAAATAAATAATAATTTATTTAAAATATGCATTTATTGTAAAAAATTTATATAATTATGTTGCTCGTACAACTGAGCAGAATTAAATATAAAATATACAAAATATATATATATAATATATATAATTATAGGCACAACATCATTCTGGCACACACAGACACATAAACCTAAGTGTGTACTATATAATATTTAAAAAATTATAAATCAAATATTAATTATATAACTTGATATAAAATTTTATCTGAATCTATACAAATATCTATTATATATAAAATCTATTATATTCTGTTCATGTATAACAATGATTGATAAAAAAAGACATACACACAGGTGTGTATGCGTTATGTACAGTAAATTAATATTTTTGGAATGTAAAATTCTTCGGTTTTTCTTAACTCTATTAAACTTAATATCGCGCGACTAGCATTTTTGACGACTTGTCTTAGCAAGTATAGCCATCCCAGTCTTTGATTGATTTGTTCTTCCTAGTTGTTTGCTTATGTAGTCACCGATTTCTACTATTTTATTTAAGTCTATGCCAGTGTTTAGTCCTTGTCCTTGTAAAAAGTATAATAAATCTTCTGTGGCAACATTTCCTGAAGCGCCAGCAGCATATGGACATCCGCCAAGTCCAGCAACAGAAGAGTCAAAGACTCTTATATCATTTTCAAGACCTGTACATATATTTACTAGAGCCTGCCCGTATGTATCATGACAGTGCAATGCGTAGTAACTCATGTTATTGGAAACAACATGATGCAACTCATTCAAGACACGTTTAATTTTTTTGGCGATCCTGTGCCTATGGTATCGCCCAAAGAAACTTCGTAACATCCGCAATCTAACATCATTGAAGCCAAATGTGCTGTGATAGCTGGTTTAGTTTCCCCTTCGTAAGGACAATCAGCAATGCAGGATACATAGCCACGGATCCTGATATTGTGCTTCTTTGCCTCCCCAATAACAACCTTGAAATTCTTCACGCTCTCTTCAATGGTGCAGTTGGTATTTGCTTTGGAAAAGGCCTCCGAGGCTGCGCCAAACACTGCAATCTCTTTCACACCTGCCTCGATAGCACTCTTTAAGCCCTTTAGATTTGGTACCAGGACCGGATAGGATATGCCCTGTTTTTTCTCAATTTGTTGGAACACTCGAGCGTTGTCTGCCATCTGAGGAACCCATTTTGGAGATACAAAACTCGTTACTTCAATGCTGCTCAATCCGGTCGTCGACAGTCTGTTGATGAAATCGATTTTGATTTCGGTAGGCACCACTTTCCTTTCGTTTGCAACCCATCTCGCGGTGCAACTTCCACAACTTTGACGAAATCGTTCGGCCGACCTGATGTGAAACCTCGACTGCGAATCCTCGACGTCAATTGCAATATTGCTTTCTTCGGCAGTAATTCGAGCATTTTTATAAAAAATTCCTATAAAATATTCACGAGTTATTTACAATATCAACAATTTATTAAAACGATTTTACAATGTTACCCACTATTTACAAATTTTTTTTTTATATGTTTGGTATTTTCCTTGCCGTCAACCTGTATTTAAATAAAAGGTTTAAATACCCACTATTTACAATTTTTTTTTTTATATATTTGGTATTTTTCGTGTCGTCAACCTGTATTTAAATAAAAGGTTTAAATACCTACTATTTACAAATTATGAATGAAGGTTATTACGAGAAATCGAGAGAGAGCTTGTTTACTATTTTTTCCTCTGTTCTGATTGGTCTACGACATCGATACAATCGATCCCAAATTTGCGAGAGTATCGCAAATATTCGAGATTCGAGTTAGCGGTAAAGTCTTGGCACGTGTAAACAAACAGTTTAGGTTATGCATATCGTTTCAATCGTGCTTTTCACGCGAGTATAAAACCATAAAAATGGATACAAAAGACGAAAATGAGACGGAAAAAGGTGACCAAGAAGAAGAAAAAGATTCGCAACAAGAGACAATTAACGTCATCACCTGTAACGAGGATTTAAGTCCTTTATTTGAACAAAGCGATCACAGCATCAATAAGATTCACTTTTCGGAGGTAAATAGATAGTTTTATAACATCAAAAATCTCTGTGTACATGAATAAAGTGATAATTGATGCGAGAATATTCTGATTCGAAAATACAATGCACATATATCTACATTTGACAATTTTGTAGTACGTCAAACACTAACATGGATATATTTTTGCTATTATAACAATTATTCTGTGCATTTTTTAAACAATTTAACTCCTTTTTTTATGAACATTCTTCTATTTCTAATATTGGTGTTGCTGCGTAAGGAAATTATATTTTTGAAGCAATATTTGTTATTTTAACAAATATATACATATATAATTAATATCTAAATACATATACATAAGTACAAATACAAACACATAAGTACTATAAAAACAATTACAAATAATACTAGAAGAGAATTTAACTCCTTTTTTATGAACATTCTTTTATCTCTATTTTATAAGTTGAATATTGGTGTTGCTGCGTAAGGAAATGATATTTTGAAGTAATATTTGTTATTTTCACAAATATAAATATATAATTAATATCTAAACTTATATACAAACACATAATTACTATAAAAACAATTACAAATAATAGTAGAAGAGAAATAAATAGAAGAATAGAAGAGAGAAATAAAAATTAAAGTGATCGCAGAGCAATTTCATTGGTGTTGCTGCATAAGGAAATTATATTTTTGAAGTAATATTTGTTATTTCCACAAATATAAATATATAATTAATATATATACAAACACATAATTACTATAAAAACAATTACAAATAATACTAGAAGAGAAATAAATAGAAGAATAGAAGAGAGAAATAAAAATTAAAGTGATCGCAGAGCAATTTATTGTATCACAAGATATCGAAGGAATGACAATTAGGAAATGGAATAAAGTATACAAGTAATCGCAAGAACTGATTCATCGTAGGTTCCACAAATCTGTAGGGACGAGCCATGCCAGCTTGGGGTGGACGAGGCAGGTCGCGGTCCGGTTCTAGGTCCAATGGTTTACGGGATCTCGTATTCTCCCCTGTCGCGTAAGCAGTTGCTGGTCGATCTGGGGTGCGCCGATTCCAAAAGTCTAACGGAAAAGAAGCGCGACGAGATATTCGATGACATCTGCAAGAATGAGGACAGTATAGGCTGGGCGATCGAGGCGATATCGCCGAACGTTATCGCCAACAGCATGTATCGTCGTACCAAAGTCTCCCTCAACGAGGTCTCCATGCTCTCGGCCATCAGACTGATCGAGAGAGCGATCGAGGCTGGTGCAAACGTCGCCGAGATCTACGTGGACACGGTCGGCAAACCGGAGTCTTACCAGGCCCGACTGAAAGGCGTGTTTCCCGGGCTGAAGATAGTCGTGGCGAAGAAAGCGGACGCAACCTATCCGATCGTCAGCGCGGCCAGCATATGTGCCAAGGTGTCGCGAGATCATGCGATACGAGCGTGGAGGTTCCGCGAGGGTGACTCCATCGGGACCGAATACGGTAGTGGCTATCCGACCGATCCGGTCACCAAAAAGTGGCTGTCCGCGAACGTGGATGAGGTGTTCGGCTTTCCGCAGCTCGTTCGATTCAGCTGGTCCACCGCGGAGCAGATTCTCGAGTCGAAAGCGCTGGCGGTGGAATGGGAGGAGACCGAGGAAACGGAGATGCCCAATGAGCAGAAGATTTCCAAGTTTTTGCCAAGTCTCCGACTAAATCGTCTAACGTTCATACGAAAAAACACCCCTTCTTTATGGAACGCTGTCTGTCGAACGCGAGTGTCTTATGATCATTGAAAAAAATATGTTAACTTTTTCACTAAACCTTTTATTAAATTACTGTTTTATTAATTGGACATATATTAGTATTTAAGTCATATATACGTTTGTTAGATTTGTTATGATCAATTTAAATGCTCTCTTTTATACGTTCAATTAATAAAATAGTATTTAGTTGAAAGATTTTTAGTCAACATTTTTTTTCAGTGTACATGCTTCATGTTAAAATTCTATTTATTACAATCATTAATCGGAATTGTGTTTTAAAGATACGATTGAGGAAAGAAAAAAATTATAGGAATTATATAATTTAATAGACGTATAATTACTTTATCTTAATATATTTAGCGATATTTTTTTATAATTAATTGGGACACTTATGAGACATTTGGAATAAAAGTGGATTGGATAAATGTACTTTATTCTGAACATCTTCTATCAAAGATATTTAATTATTCAACATTATTCTCCCGATATATCTTTCGTTAAGGTTTTATTTAGATTGATGTACAATACATTTTCGAGAAAGACTTATGCAATTACTGAAGAGAAAATCCCTCGCAGTTTAGAATTCAAATCTTTTTTTTTTTTATAAATCGATATTTCACATCGCGCGTTTCACTTTTGGAACATTAAATTAAAGACAAGTATATATATATATATAATATATCGTCCAGCTTATTAATTATATATATATATACATATTTACAAGAGTGTGCCCTTAATAGCTACCATAGATAAAGAAAGTGGCAGTTTTACTTACGAAATTTCTCTCTACGTATCGTGCCACCGTGATATAATTAACAATTAGGAATGCTTAGCGTGAAAAGTTCGAAAAATCTTTGGTAAACGCACGCTACAAGTCACACATGTCGTACAATTATTCCTAGGACATTATCTCGTTTAACACACGATTAATAGCGACTAGATCGTTAAGGGCTACGGATGATGGTGGCGAACAGAGACGACGATTTGTTTGTGCCGCGTCTCACTGCCTCTTCTCGGTATGTATGCGCTAGGCCGATTCGTGTTTATTTTATTGATTTATACGGGTACACACACACACACACACACACACATACACGCGCGCGCGAAAGCGGCGTGTAATAACTAACAGGCGCGTCGTCCTCCTTTTCTTAACTAAACACCTCACCGTCCGGAATGCCCTGTACGACATACACCGATAATTAAGCTTATCGAATAAATGACAAAACACATTCTTTAGATAACTATACAAAACTTTTAGAGACGTTTCAATAAATTTCTCAAACAAATATATATTCAATAAATATTTAATAGAATCAATACACGGAGAGAATTTTCTCTTAAAATTTACCCTGAAAATCATGGTAATCGTGTGACAATATGGTATTGGAAGAATCTTATAAGAGTTTCTCTAATTAATATTCATCACAAAAAAAATATTAATATATGTACATAGTAAAATTTACTAAGAATTTACTATGTATATAGTAAAATTTACTATGTATTATATAGTACATAGTAATTTTACTATGCACATATTAATATTTTTATTGTGGTAAATATTAATCAGAGAAACTCTTATAAGATTCTTCCAATACCATATTGTCGCACGATTACCATGTATTTTGAGAATAAATTCTAAGAGAAAATTCTCTCTGTGTAGAAATCTTTTAAAATATATATATATATATATCCTGACCATGTGCGGGGAATTTTTCATACATACATGTCATGCTGAAATCGTTAATATATTACATTGTCTTGCAAATTGAATAAAGTGCACTTGTACTCTATCATCTCTATAATTCGTACGTAGGGCAGTTAATAAAAATTCGATGAAATGCAGATTCGTCACGTTCTCGGTTTGCACTGCGCGGCGAATATTCACGTAGAGACGAAGCGCGCGTGTAACGTGCGTATGTGCATCCGAAGAAATCGATTTATGCACTTTACGCACGAGTCGCCGCCGCGAGCGATGTAAAGAGTCGCGACTCTGAATTTTCATGACATAAACCAGCGATTTGTGACGTGCCTGTCCTTCCGATGAATATACACACCGAGAATGCATGGTTCGTCGTGTCCCTCGCGCACTACACGAGAAATACGTAATTTGTATAACGCGAAAAGTAAACGACCAAGTCGCCGCAAGGTTCCGGGGATTGTATCTTATCGCTTTAAATGAAAAAAAAAAAAAAAAAAAAAAAATCCACCCCTTTACTCTCTTCATTCTCTCCGCATATCCGAGTTTAAATCTAACGTACTGATAGTGTGTGTGTCGTCTGCCTACAATTATTTACGTGGTTTCTAGCTCCACTCTAATTGCAATTATAAAAAATATAAACAACACGGGTAATTTATTACGTAATCGTGTCACATCGTGAGGGTGGCTTCTCCTCGAGGCCTAGAGGATGAGCACGAAGGGCGGCGATTGGTATCCTCGATCCTTACCGGAGCATCAATAATCCCATGATTACGAGAACGACGCATGGTCGTGCCAGCGTAACACTTCCGCTAGCTGAAAAAGAAAAGAAAGAGATAGAGATATTTTCCGGGATTCATAAATATTCAGGGAAAAAATTCAAGGCTTAAACTTTGCGCGAACCGAAGCCCAGTTAAGCGAGTTTAGCTAAAGCGATTTGTTGCTCAGGCGCGATGGAAGAGATGGCTGAATTAAGAGGGATCGACGGAGATTTCGTGTCCGCGAAATTGGATTCCTAATCTCTCTCGATCGTTTAAACGGTCGGTGTGATTCGGCATTTTTCCAAATTCCTTTCTGTTACCCTCGAGGAAGAGACCTGTCATCGGGACACATGTTTCGCGCAAAACGAGCTACGTGTTCGCGTTTTGGCTTACATTAGACGGAACCGATGCACCGTATTGAAGGAAATGGTGGAAAATGACGTTGAGTTGTTAAACTATTTCGGCCACAAAGTCTACATTTTTTTTGCGGACTCATATAATCAATATTAACGACGTGAACCGTGAAAAACGTCAGTTTTTTTCTCGCGGTTTGAAAACCGATTCTTATCCCCCTTTATAACAGAGACGAGTAATGACTCTTCGAGATAGACCAGACCCTCGTCCCAATTCTTCTGATTGATGTAAATAAAATGTCATTCCGAGAGTCAATATCCGCGATTATATCGCTTGAAGAAATGTTGAGACATTCGGATATAAAGTTGAATAAAAAGTAAACCCTCTATCGTTTGCTCCTTATTTTATTATTACTCACTATTATCTCATTTTATTCATCAATTTTCATTCGCGATTTCTTTCAGCTTTTTATTCCCTCGCCGTTCTTAAACGTTGAAAAAGATAATTAAATTATGATGGAGAGAAGAAAAAAAAAGATATTGTATAATGAATTGTAAATATAAATCATTCACTTTTTTTTCTCGGTACAATTTTATAACATTTTTAATCTGAGAATCTTTTTATTACTACGCTGTAAAAAAATATGTAATATATTTTATATATATTACATATGTAATACATTACATATTTTATATATATTACATATGTAATATATTACATATTTTATACCTATATTACATATGTAATATATTACATATTTTATACCTATATTACATATGTAATATATTACATAAAAGATACGTAAAATTACATAAATAATAAGTGTAAAATTCGTGTAATTTACAATTATTATTTATATAATATTTTACATACTTTTTTTACAGCGTAGGTTCCTACATATATGAAACAGGCGGCAGCTAAATTGAAAGACACGCGATAAAGAAATCCGTGGGGTAGGGTAGACATCTCGCCCTTGCTACGTCATCTATCCTTAGTCAAGGGCTGGCCGGGAGAGATTTCTCTCTTTTTTGTTCTCTTACCTAGGATATGCTCTGCATGCGTGTGCCCTTGCGCCCTTGTCTCCCTGCTCTCCATTACCGGTATCTTCAGGGGCCTCTCGCCCTCTATGCTGAGCTCATTCGATTTCCAATATAGGGTATATATCGTCGCCAGGCATTTGATCTTCAAGTCTCCCTTCTTGAAGTGTTTCGTGCGCAGACGGAACTCTAGACCGAGCGTGGCGGTCTCTAGACCCTCCCGGTCTACGTTGGTTAAGAGCGGCTTCAAGAACTGCGCTTCGACCTAATCGAAGAGCGGGAAAATGCGAGTGTATATTCTCTCTCTTGGCTTCAACGACGACGACGACATTCTCGAGGAGATATATGTATATACATATATATATATACGCGAATGTTATCGTCCTCGCTCTCTCGCCCTTTTAATCTCTCACGGTAAACCGATAACTTTTCCGAAATTTTCATATCTAACGTTCCGGCGAAGTTGAAGAGATCATTTATGCTTTCGGAACACGATGTTTTATTCAATGAGATAGGAAAGCGGCTGAAAAACACAGTGGCTCCGAAAGAAAATAATGCTCCCCCTTTAATAACTTTGATGACCGTAAAGGATTACGCAGGATAATAAATGAACGATACTTCTTAGATGTGCGCGAAGCCACGATTAATTAAAGATTAATATTCTTCTTCTCTCTTTTTTTTCTTCTTTTTTTTCCTACGAAATGTAATAACGTCGTCAGTGCTCCGCGAATTAAATACCACATTATCTGTCTAATCTACTTCTTGGAAAATTGACTCTTGACCCGCGAGCTCCTTGAGAGCACTACATAAACTTTTAATAGCAGAAGATTGCTATCTCTCTCTCGTTACATTTTATTATAACAAAAATTGAGAAACCTTGTTGTATATCAAGTATATATATATATATATAAAACGTATTCCAATCATAATAATGGCAATAATTTTTACATCACGTCACAGTAGAAAAATGTGTTTTAAAATTTTTGTGTTAATTATTTAACACATTCACGTTCATTAATTTTACATATTATGTTCATTGAACTTAAATTATTATTAAAACAATTGAAAAAAGATGAACAATTGAAAAATAACATTATTTTAGTAACAAGATTTAGCTAAAAGTTAAAATTTACAGAAAAAATGTTGATTTTTCATTTCATAAGTGAGGATGATAAAATCTAAAATTAACATATTTTTTATTAATTTTTACATTAAAATTATATTAACTTTACACAAAATTTATTTTAAATTATTCGAAATTTTGCATTTATGTCGTGTTACAATATTAACACAATATTTGTGTCTCTAACATATTCATATTATGTTAAACTAACACAATTCTAAAAAAATTTCTGTCGATCCTTTAGAACATATGATATCTGTTAAATTTAACAAAAATTTTTAAACTGTGACTGAATGCGAAAATTTTGCGATTTCTCTTTAATAAAGCAAGAATTTCGACGGTTTGTAATTTACAACAGTGCGCATTGGTCACTGCTCCGCATATTACAAATAGAGAGATTATCTTTTAATCGTAAGATTATCGATTCGAATATTGATTAATCCAATTTTAATAAGCTGCGAACGCTGAAACACTAATTAGGCAATTTTGCGCGAGCGTCCGTTCGTCGAGCGCGGCCGAAGATTAATTATCCAAGAACCAATTATTTGTTCGCGTATGAAAAATGAAAAAGTTGCACGCCAAAGAGTACACTTTGCAAAATTAATCCCCGAGCTTTGTTAGCGCGTAATCGTGGGGTCAACGAAGGACATTAACGCGGTCAACGCTTGTTGCGGAAAGAGACGCGCGTTATTTTCGCGCAAAAGCGAAATTTACCGTGGCTTATTGCCGCGATGGAAAACTTTTAACGGTGTTTAAGAGGAAAAACAAAACGGGAAAGAGAGAGAGCAAACTGTTACGACTTTTCTCCGCCATACAGTAATATCAAAGCGCGCTTTTACGGAACCTCGTAACTCGTGTGTCACGATGGCGGTAAAACATGATATATTACGAAGGAAGAAGTCCTTATTAAGATAGATATGAAGATTCAACTTTGTCACTTGTGCGATGTGTAGGACTCTAACGATGTATAATATTAGCGTCAAACTCTCGGATCAGTTTAATCGATAGTCTGCTTAGATTTTACTCCAGCGGAATATTAATTCACATCTCAATATAATGTGTCATGTGGGGAATTTCAAGTTTTAATCCTGGAGAATATGGAGATAGAAATTATACAGGATCTCTACGCAGAGAATTTTCTCTTAGAATTTACCCTGAAAATCGTGGACAATATGCTGTTGGAAGAGTTTTATATGAGCTTTTCTGATTAATATTTACCACAATAAAAATATTAATATCTAGCACAATAAGATATAAAATATACTCGATTAATTTTACTATGTACGTAGTAAAATTTACTATGTACCTATTAATATTTTTTATTGTGGTAAATATTAATCAGAAAACTCTTATAAAATTCTTCCATATTGTCCACGATTACCATGATTTTCAGGGTAAATTCTAAGAGAAAATTCTCTCCGTGTAACTTTTCAGGAATTTAAAGTTTTTAGAGGCTTGATAAAAATTAGGATAAATAATTATAAATAATATTTTGCTACTTGAATCATACAACTGGTCGAAAAATTCGTAGATATTCGAGACTTTTTCCAGTTTCTCTCTCTCTCTCTCTCAACCGCACTTTTCGTAAGCGTGTGCGAATCCCTAGATAGACCACTCTAGACGGATTTGCCGAGATCACGGCTTATCTTGGACGTCGGTGACGTGTGTCCCCGCGAAGTTTTACGCTTCCGACAATCCGGGCAAGACGTTGCGGTACGCAGACAGGCACAGAGAGAGAGAGAGAGAGAGAGGAAGAAAGAGAGATGCTGCGCGTCTGGAGCACTCACGGGTTCGCCGTTGATGAACCAGCTGAGCGTGGCATGTGGCTTCGACTTTGCTGAAGTGCAATTGAGCCGTATGACGTCGCCGAGTTGATAACGATGTTTCCCGGATCGCGGAGTCGCCGTAATGATGGGCCCGTCCTTCGGCAGTGCTGGAAATACCGGAAACGCTTTCGTGAGAATCGGCTTGGATTTTATCGTGGAAAAAAAAAGTCAAAGAGGACCCCTCCCTCTCGATCAATTCGAGCGACGATGAAAGCGCTTTTAACTCGCGCCCGCTCGAATATTTTAACGCAATATCGCTTGACCGTAATTTTGTTGCGGCTAGCTTAACTTGTTTACGCTTACCGGCGCGGAAATTTTAATGGAGTAACACTTCGCTATAATCATTTTGTAGTCGATATATGACACATTTAACTATACACAGCCACGCACACACATACACATTCATATGGGCTATATTGTATTAGATATATAGATATATTCAGTGTTTGCTGTTAGCTACATAAAATTATATACAGATGAAATTTTTTGACGTCATCTTGGATTTATATAGATAATAAAAATATGTATTGTCTATATCTGCATTTTCAATAGAAAAAAGTGTTACCTATATAATAACACATAAAAATACTCAAGTATTTTTATTGCGTAATAGAACTTGAGCAGTAAGCGATATTATACAAATAAAAATATAAATACAGTTTTATATTTCTTTTAATAATTTACATTTTTTAAAATAATTATGTATTTACAGAAGCGGACTTAAAAATAATATTGAAAGTTCTAAATCTAGATAAATCGCCATATATAATTTTATTTTTTATTCTAGATATCAATAGATCAAAAAACAAAATCATCTTAATCTTATTTAAGATAAATTTACATATTTTCACCTCATCTCTATTTAGCTAATTTTAAAATCACCTATAAGCACAACACTGAATATATTATAAATAAGAAACCAGTTGGCTGGCGCGAAAACCGCGCGATTGAAATTTGCTCGGCAAAAAGGGAATAAATAAATGATCGTGGATTAAAGAGATTCGGACGAAGGAAAAAATATATAACGGCGGATCTAGAGTTAAAAGATTTCCCAGACTTGCCACATAATTATTGAAAATTCTCCCCAATCGATATTTAGTACAATATTGAGGAGATGCTGACCACGACTGTTTTATCAACTTTGACTTCAAGCTCATAACAATACTTAATAATAAAAATGAGATTAAAAGCCTGTATCAAAATAATTCGTACTTGAATTAATTATGTATGTATATTTGCGGAATCGATGTCGAGGCATAAAACAAAAATTAGTTGTTAAAATTAGTTTTTTATCGCATCCTCCTTTTGCATCAGCTCACAACAATATTTATTTAATACAAAAGTTCTGCAGTTTATTTGTGCACAAAATATGGCGCTCTCAATAGAGATGATATGAAAGAATTCATTATTATCAATATACTTTGATTGTGGGGGATTTTTCAATCTGTATATTCAATAAAAAGTGATAACCTAACCTAACTTAAAATCGGTAAAACAGAACAACGGCAGCATCCCCTTAATCAAGAAAGAGGGTTCAATTTGCCGGAGCAACGTTGATAATCCTCGAGTTAGAAATGATCGGGGAGAATCTTTCCGAATTTCGTGTCGATAAATTGAATGTCGCGATTTCGAAAACTGTGTGAAGCAATTAAGCGAATCGGCTTTGAGTTTGTCAATGAGAGAGAGAGTTTCGCGCTGAAAGAAGGTACTTCATTTCTGGGTCGCACATGACGATAATAAGATAGGATTAACGGAAAACGTTTAGAACGGCGAGAGGAAAGTCGAAAGTTACACAAACGCGATATTACTGTCAGGATAAATTGTCAGCGATTCGTCACCGAGTCATATAGGTCGATATGCGATGGGGAGAAACGAGCAGATAATGTTCTCCCTCGCAGATTAAAACTAACGCGACGTAATTAACTCTTTCGGAGCTATCGGAACTGCGATTCGTTTTAATTCCTCGCGCGTTAAGTGGCTTTATAAAATCCTCGAGGCCGTTAAAATTCCTAATCCTCGACGGGAAATCTCCTCTCCTTCCTCCTTGAGAGCACGAAACCGAAATCCTTCCGTTAAATGACACGTATATAAATCTTTGTCTCGGAATTAAACCGTCCCCGAGTCACAATTTCACGGAGAGATAAATCTTTCTTTAAGAATTTGATTTTACTTCGGACATGAATAAAATTACGATTAGTCAGCACGGTTTTCTTTCCGCCTGTGATTCTTTTCTTTTCTCTCCTCCTCGCGGTCGCAATCGCGATAACAACAACATTCGGCCAAGAAAAATTATATCAAAGAAGTATTATATCACAATATAATATCCCCAAAGTTTCGCGGCGGCCCCCGGATTATGCCGTTATTGCGCGATTCCTTTGAGAGATAAAACTCTTAATTAATACGAATCTGCCTTTGATGCTCCTTACCGACCACTTCCATATCCGAATGGTCGGAAACGGTCTGGAAAGAAGGCGCTTCCGCTGAAACCTCGCATCTGTAGCGTCCCGTGCTCATGAGATTCAGGGAGAAAAGGTCGACCGTCCTGTCGGTGGAATTGTGAATCTGAAATAGAAAGAGGGCGAAGCATTAAAAAAGTTTTCAATAAAAATTGTTGATTCCGCTGAAAGATAATCGAAAGATATATTGTACGTGTAGAAAGCCGGGAGAATCGAATTCTCTCCCAACCGCGATATTTTCGCACGAATGTCCTCTCTCGGTGATACATCGCGCGCGATAAATTTCGCATTTGCAACATTAAACTCCCCGAAATCGATTGAATTAAGTCCTGAATTTTTAGTCCTCGCCTCTCCGCGAATGGATGCGAAATCGAGGGATATATATACCCCTATATTTGTCTTTCGCGCGCGAAAAACGATTCTTGTCGAAATTCCCTCACCAGGTCCTGCGAATCATCATCCCTCGCCCAAAAGTTCTCGTCGTGGGGAATTTTTTCGTATCACTCAATGGCGCGGAAAACCGAGCGAGTGATATAGTCGACGAGGAGAAATTGAAATTATTGGAAATATCATTAACCCAGAAGAGGGAGACTCTTCTGGGTAGAGAGAAAGAGAGAGAGAGGGTGACGAGTGAGTCTCTCCCTCTAGGGATCAATTTGTAATGCGTTATCTTTTGCGGCGACGTTGACAAGGACGATGACGAAGACGACGACGAAGACGACGAAAGGCAATTTCACGACGCGCCCGCGACGACGATGCGAGAGCTTAACGAACAACGTGCCCTCCTTGCCCTTTCCTCCTGCTTCACGTTAAATTAGTTTCGCGAGGAACGCGGAACCCGGAGGGTCATCTCTCTCGTCGTTGGCATCCCCGCAATTTTCATCTCCGCGAGAGGGAGAGAGAGAGAATATACACGAGCGCATTTCACGATTCATTATACTAATCGATGTAATTATAAACAACGATAACGACCCCGCCACGGGGTAGCGAGACCGATAATTTCTAAGGGCGCCAATCTCGCGACCGGTGATTAATGTTAATATTAAGGCTCATTATGACGGAGAGATCGCCCCGCCTTTGTTTATCCGCCGCTCGCGCGCGCGTAATACGGGCATTAATCCGACGTCTTGACGTGAATGAAAAGCCATTTTGATCGCAGCGAGTGCGCCGAAAATATGGAAATTTTGCTCGTCCCAGCAAGCTACGCCGTGCGATGCGCTCAGTATTTGTTGTTATCTAAAGAAAATTGTACGGGTGATCATCTAGATCGAATTTTTGCCATCATCTTATTTTTATATAGATATAATAAAAATATGTATTAGAATTTGCCTTAGAGTCATAGCACTCAAAAATATTTGTGAGTATTTTTATCAAGTAGTAGAACTTGCAAATAAGAATATAAATAATTTTTATATCCTTTTTATAATTTACATTTTTTTATCATTGTGTTATTTACATAAACCGTCTCAAAAATAATATTATCTGAAAGTTATCTAGATAATTTGATTTAGAGTCATGTAGCACTCAAAAATACTAGAGTATTTTTATCAAGTATAGTAGAACTTACAAATAAGAATATAAATAATTTTTATATCCTTTTTATAATTCACATTTTTTTATAATTGTGTTATTTACATAAGCCATCTCAAAAATAATATTATCTGGAAGTTATCTAGATAATTTGCCTTAGAGTCATAGCACTCAAAAATATTTGTGAGTATTTTTATCAAGTAGTAGAACTTGCAAATAAGAATATAAATAATTTTTATATCCTTTTTATAATTTACATTTTTTTATCATTGTGTTATTTACATAAACCGTCTCAAAAATAATATTATCTGGAAGTTATCTAGATAATTTGATTTAGAGTCATATAGCACTCAAAAATACTAGAGTATTTTTATCAAGTATAGTAGAACTTACAAATAAGAATATAAATAATTTTTATATCCTTTTTATAATTTACATTTTTTTATAATTGTGTTATTTACATAAGCCATCTCAAAAATAATATTATCTGGAAGTTATCTAGATAATTTGCCTTAGAGTCATAGCACTCAAAAATATTTGTAAGTATTTTTATCAAGTAGTAGAACTTGCAAATAAGAATATAAATAATTTTTATATCCTTTTTATAATTTACATTTTTTTATCATTGTGTTATTTACATAAACCGTCTCAAAAATAATATTATCTAGAAGTTATCTAGATAATTTGATTTAGATAGATAATTTGAGTATGTTTATTAAGCAGAACTGGAGCAGTAAGCAATAAAAACTGACAAATAAAAATATAAATAATTTTTATATCCTTTTTATAATTTACATATTTTTTTTTATAATTGTGTTATTTATATAAGCGATCCTGAAAAATAATAATTAATTATTTGAAAGTTATCTAGATGAATCATCATGAATAGTTTTATTTTTTATCTATATATAATATTTAAAACAAAATCATCTTCATTTTGTCTAAGAAAAATTTCCATATCTTCTCATCTTTATCCAGCTCATTTTTAAATCATCTAAACACTGGATACACCCTATTTATTTAGATACGGAAGGGCGAGAAAGTTATTTTCAGGAATACGATGCGTGAAGTATCGCCTTGGTGGATATTTTTCTCGTGGAATAATTTCGAGATAGAATTTTGAAAATCGACACTTATCGATCTCTCTCTTTTATTTGATCATTAATAACAAGCCCGCGTTTATTTTTATTACACCGTTTACTCCATATCGCGATTACATGTGCATACATATTTCCGAATTTCAGTCGGATGTATTTCCGAGTTATAGTTCCACTGCCTTCCTATTTGTTTTCCAATTGAAAAAAACATTCGAGCGCAACGCGTGATTTATTTTTAAAAGACACAAATATGGTGGCAGAAAAAGAGAGAGAAACGAGATAGCGGTTCCCCGGTCGATTTCGTCGGGAATCTTTTCGATTTTGGCTGTCCTCGGCGATCGCAGACTAAGAAATCCCTTGGTTCGTATATACGCGAGTGAAAACGGATCAATCGTGTATATTATTCCCAGGGAAACTCCTTCTATCTCCGGAAACGCATCGGGGCACCGAGATTTTCGAGAGAGAGAACGAAAGAGCGCGAAATGAAAACACCGAATGGTCTACTGGAATCTTTCCCAGGATTTCTTCAATTACATCCCGTTCCCGTTTAAGGCGCAATGCAGCAAGAAGGGAGATCCCCTAGGATCGTCCACACACACACATACATACACATACGGTCGCGGGCGAGAAAACGTGGATACTGTATAAAGATTTGGCGCGAGAACATGGAAGGTCTTCGTGGCCTGTGTAAACCTGGCGCGGCCGCAAAGTAGAACTTACAAACTACTGGATTTACATCGATGTTGCAACTGGGCTCTCTCTCTCTCTCTCTCTCTCTCTCTTTCTCATCAGTCTTATTGTCGCGAGAATCAAGAAAAGTCGTTTTCGTTTGCAAGATCCATTTTAATATTATTAAGGTCGTCTTCTCGCAGAGATAGACTCTACGCAAGTTATTATACTATAAGCGTCCGCAGAATTTTTTCCAGGGAGAGGCATGATTGAAATTGTTCTTGTTTCTTATTATTTTATTTTTTCTTCATTTTTTAATTCGATTTTTGTTATTTTTATATTTTTATATTAAATAAAATTGCAAATAAATTCCAGGGTTTATTCACAAGGAGAGCACATGCTTAATTTTTCTACTGATTTCAAGGAGGGCCTCTTGCCCTCTTCCCTGTGGACTCTCTCATGCTTGAAATTGTTTTTGCTTCTTATTATTATTCTTTCTTAATTTTGAAATTTTTATTTTAATATTTTTATATTAAATAAAATTGCAAATAAATTCCAGGATTTACTCACAAGGAGAGCACATGCTTAATTTTTCTACTGATTTCAAGGGGGGCCTCTTGCCCTCTTCCCTGTGGACTCTCTCATGCTTGAAATTGTTTTTGCTTCTTATTATTATTCTTTCTTAATTTTGAAATTTTTATTTTAATATTTTTATATTAAATAAAATTGCAAATAAATTCCAGGGTTTACTCACAAGGAGAGCACATGCTTAATTTTTCTACTGATTTCAAGGAGGGCCTCTTGCCCTCTTCCCTGTGGACTCTCTCATGCTTGAAATTGTTTTTGCTTCTTATTATTATTCTTTCTTAATTTTGAAATTTTTATTTTACTATTTTTATATTAAATAAAATTGCAAATAAATTCCAGGGTTTATTCACAAGGAGAGCAAATGTTGAATGTTTTTTCTACTGATTCCAGGGGGGCCAATGCTGCCTTTTGTCCCCTTTCTATGCAAATTACTGATTTATTTCGCTCTCCTCACCTTAAGATTTAATTATATCGAAACTTAGAGGAGGTAACATCCTTACGATCGCCGTAACGCCGGGAAGATTGAACGCCATGGCGGGTGGTTTTTCCTGGGGCACGTATCGGTAGAACTCGTTGCCGTCCTTGTACCATTTGACCGAGTACAGTTTCTCGTTGTCCAGCTCAAAGTCGCACTCGAGGCGTATGGTTTCCCCACGGGCCACGTGCTTGGGTACTATCAGCTGCTTCATCCTCAGGCCGTTTGTTTCTGCAAACACACATACACACGGTATAACAAAGGCGGATCGGGGAAAACTGCGCGCTAAAAAATGTTGTATTTGTGTTTAAGCGAGTTTGAAACGCACGAGAGATCTTGCTTGCTTAAACAAATTAAACCGGACAAGGCTAATTGGAGTAGCGCTGTTTTCGTGTTTTTGCGATACATTTAGTTATATTGTTGAAAACTACTCGGAAGAGTAATAACATTTTGTAATTGAAATATCAAAGGAGAAACGAGAGATAAATTGCGCTTAAAACTGTGAAGATGCTCACAACCGCAAGTGTTCTAATTTATATTTTCTTCTTTCTCGGTCTCTTTCTCTTTCTCCTTCTCTAGATTTGAGTTAATGTATCCAATTTTCTTAATTTCTACACAGCAAGTTTTTAAATTTTTATAATTTATATATATATATATATATATATATATGTATATACATATATTTCTTTTATGGTATATATATTTTGTTTAATTTCGAGATATAAAATTTCTCAATTTTATAAAGATTATGGTGAACTCTGTAATTATATAATCTTGCGTTATGCGTCGAAATAATTTTTGACAATCTAATGCAATCAGGATTTGGCAAAATAACACACGGTAAAAAAATCACACCAAATTGTGACAAATAAAATATTAAAAAAAAACATACAAGAGTAAAACGTCGAGTTTTATATAATTCATATTTTTATGTGTCATTTTTCTGGTGCGCGAGTCCGCTTATGTTATTTTAAAAATAGAAAATGGAAGTGCACTCGTTGCAACAACATTGCTGTTTAGATCCGCAGCTCTCCTCATAAGCGTTTCCTTCAAAAATTCACGACGAATCGCTCGAGACGCGCGAGACGTTTCCGACGAATAAACGACAAAGCCCGAAACGCGCGACCCGGGAAGATCGCGATCCCCTTTTGCGAGATATACGCGGCATTCGGATGACATCACTCCGAGAGGAAGGAAAGATCAAAGGAGCCACGGGAGAGAAGCTGGCGAAGAAGACGCGCGTCATGGCCTCCCTTTCCCGAGGATGCTCCAGCGATATTTGAATCATCGGGAATATTCTGCGAGAATGGTATATGAATGGAATATGTAAACTGCATGGAATATACCATGTATTTATAAGAGAGAGAGAGGGAGTGAGAGAAGGTAGAGAATCTGCGGGAAACGCGTCGACGGAACAGGATGATGAAGATAACGTCAGGTAAACAGGTGGTTGGGAACGACAACGAACAAATTCTATGACGTTTATAAACAAGGTATTAATTTCTTGGCACGTGCTGATTCGCGAACAAGACAAATTAAATGTTTATTCGAGTTATCGCTTTTTTTCCCAGCTATCTAATAATTGTTTTCGAATTTTTATTTTCGGCGAAAAAGAAGACACCTTTCGCCGAATAGAGAAACGATATTGTGAAATAATTTCGATGGAATATGTCGGTCAATTTAATTATATTTTTAAAGTAGAAAAATGGTAAAGAAATTGAATGAATAAACAATTGTTAAAAATGTGTCAAGACGTCAATCAAATTCCATTTTTTGTCATTTATTTTTTGAGAGAATCTTTTGTTTTTTTCAATGAAATAAAATTAACCAATTCATAATTTAAGAGACAGCTTGCTGATTTATTATAAATATGACCTCTTTTTGTTTAAATATTTTTGTTTAACTAGTTATATCAAGCAAAACAAAACATGTCATAATCGAAGTCTCTTGCACAGCACAGATATAGTATGTAGGTGATTGAAGAACCAAAGTTATTTTTAATTCAATATTTGACAAGTGAAAGAAGAAGTCAATCCCTATAAATGTTAATGAAAAAACATCAATATATAACGAAATTGTATATATGAAGAAAGTCGTTTCGCGCTGCGTCGGTTTGAAATTTTCAGCAACGGGTTGAGCAAAAATATATTTTTGATTACTGCCTATACGGGGGTGGACAGAGGGTTATACAGAGTGTAACTAAACAAAGGTACACGAAGCACATCATCGGATGCAGGACGACAAACTAAATCGAAAAGTCCTGTGCCATTTTTTAATCTGGGCTTTATTTTTCACGCTATAAATTGTTAAAGATTGACCAATTAGCGCGTGGCCACGCCTATTAAGGCGGAACCTATGCTGTTTTCCGTTGTAGCCACGCGCTAATTGGCCAATTTTAACAATTTATATCATCAAAAATAAAACTCAGATTAAAAAATGGCTCAGGACTTTTCGATTTAGTTTGTCGTCCTGCATCCGATGATGTGCCTTCGTATATCTTTGTTTAGTTACACCCTGTATAAGCGCAGGTGGCAGGAAGAGGGAAATAAAACTTTTCTTTGCCCTTCTTCATGATTATCTCAATTATTTCGCTAATAGTGTACGGCAACATTTTCCGCCTTTTCGTAACAAGAGTTGTATGAAAAGTATAATAAAGCGGCATTTCTCGAGACCGGACTTTTTCTCCCGGGATCTATGGAAAACCGGAGAAACTCTCTCTCTCTCTCTCTTCTATGACCGCGCAATTTCTGGAACGACAGGGATAAGAAATAATTCCTGCGCTTCGTTACGTCCGCGAATCGCGAAGAACGAAGGAAACTGGCTTATGTAGCTTCCGGCGGGGTGCGGCCATATTTTCTTACGTGCGCAAGTAGGACGATATAGCGTTAGGAAAAACCAGGAGCATTTCCAGAACTAAGAACTCTATTAAATTGAATTGAGAAGATCGAAACAAAAAATTTAAACAGCCGGAGAAAATCCTTTTTTTCTCCATGTAATATAATAATAATATGCAAATTGAAAAGAAATCCTTTAATTTCCTCCTCTATATCCTATCTATACAAATTTCTTTCCATTGTACGTAATTTGAAGATACTAATAGACACTAGCGAGAGTCAATGAATCGCGTCGAAACAAAAGGACGAAATTTTCACGCGCTTTATTTATACCGTATAAAGGAGGCGCATGCTGTATATCGAGGACTCCCGGCGAGTTATATCGATCTTTTTTTCGGCGGCACCACGCTCCATTTGACGCGAAACTTTTGCGCCAAATCATCCGCGGAAACTGCGTTTTCGATAAGTCAAAACCCAGCGAGAATGATACAGATCGGAACTGCGGAAACAAGATTAAAATTGAGGATATTATTATAAAATATTGGAGAGAAAGAGAGACAGAAAAAGATAGATATTATTAAAATATATATTTCGAAATTGATGAATGCTTAAAAACAATAATAAATCAAGAATGAATCACACGTCGCGCTTCGAGATATTTTGGTCAATATAATTGCTTCGAAAATAAAGTTGAACAGTAGTTAAATCGTTAAATGAGGTGGTGTCAAAGGTTAATGCGATTGTCTAAAATGATATTTTCGTTAAACGAGGAATCGAGTATAGTTGGACTAACGATATTATTGGTTTTTCGTTGGTAGAAATCTATTCCGGCCGTAAACATAATTGATTGAATTATGCTCCATATCCCAGAATTAACTTCTCTTTCGCGGAATTTAAATTTTCAGTTCTTGTGGCGACAGATAAATTTAACTCGAATGTTTTTGAAATAATTTGTCCCGTAGAAGAATTTCTTGTAAATAAATAAATATATTTTATTTTCTCTGTTTTTATACAAAAACAGCAAATATGGTTGCGATATCGGAATATATATTTTTTCTGAAATAAATAGTAGTAAAAATATTATTATAAAGATATTTATTTACTTTTGGGAAAACGGATAATTTCTCTACATATTTGTATTATTTTTATACATCATATATATTTTATATAAATAAATAATATATATATATATATATATATATTTTTTTATATATTAAGCGAATAATATTATATATATTTTATATTTATTAATATATATTTTTTGTATTAGCTGTTTTATTGTATCATACATTTAAATACCTCAAATCTGGTTTTTATTTACGGGAGTTTTTCACATTTATTCATCTGTGCATTTAAAAATAAATAGAGGGACGAGCAGTATAAAAATCTATCGAGCTTATTCCCGTATCGTGATTTTTTCACAAATGCCTCGCAGCGTCGCGAGAGACGCCGAGCAACTTCCTTAATAAATGTCCCTCGCGCCTGTTATTTTATTATAAAACTGCCGGAGCTGTGCGATGAAAGTCCCGTCCTTTAATATCCGGAATACGGGATACGATTCGTCATTTTTTTCCCCAGCATTCCCGCCACGACGGACCCGACTTGATTTAATATAAAATGCGAATGCCCATATATATAATACATTCACAACAATAAATTGTATAATTTATTCGTATGGTGACATAACTCTCGAATTAAATGCCAATATTATCTCACAATCAATAATATGTAACTATTTCCGAAGAAATATATTATCGCCCGTCGTTTTACTCGAATTAGTGCATTATCTCTAAAAGGAAATCGTCAATTTCAAAGAGACATATCTCCATTTAACGCCACATTATGCAGTTGTCACTTTAATCGCAAACGTCATTCTCGAATGCTTTTCTATCTCCTTCTCTCTCTCTCTCGCAAAAAAATATCCTAGCGTGCCGTTATGCACAAGAGTAAAGAAATATATATAAGAAATCTTGCAGGAAATTGTCCTTAAGCATGCTAATGCGCGGCGCGATACATGAGGACATTTAGAGTTTTGCATCACGTAACTTTCGCGACGTTGAACACCCTTTCCTCCGCCCTGGTATTTTGTTCTTTTTTTTTCTTTTTTAAAGAGGGAAGTGAGGAAAATACCTTCGCGTGTTACGGCAACCTTATAAAAGGACCGCTTTAACAAATTTCCTTTTAACGACCCGATACCGAGCGATTCCGTCCTTCCCACGAAAGCATTCCGCAATAAGGCTGAGTATAGGAACCCGGAATCAGTAAAAAAAATTTAACATTTGCTCTCCTTCTGAATAGACACTGGACATTTATTTGCAATTTTATTTAATGTAAAAATAGTAAAATTAAAAAATGGAATTTAAAAAATTAACAACAGGGTGTATACTTAAATCTTGGAAATAAATTTCCTGAGAATTCCATGATTTTCCAGGTACTTTTGTTCAAAATTCC